ATCACTTATCATGTATTTCATCATATACTTCTGGTTGCAATGGCAGGAAATTCGTGAAGCTGTGCTTAAGTTGCAATCAAAAGTATCCGCAAAAGTTATTCCTCTTACAGAAGGTTTCAAGTCAAGATATTCTTAAAAGAGCTCAAAGGATTATTGCAAGCAAATGTAGGGATTTGGAACATCTTTATCTGTGATTTCGTAGGGATTCGCTAATGTAAGTTAACACGGATTGAAATGAAAAAAAAAAACTTGTTTTGCCAAAGGAAATTTTCTTTTATGCAGCCAAAGAAGATCGGTTCAAAACTTTTGACATGCTGTTTACACAACTTTAGATTGTGGCAAAGAGCAAAGATGCATTTGTTCCTCCAAAGCCAAAAGAATTTGACATAGCGGTCCTAACGAGCATCTTTTTCGAAGTTGTTAAAGGCATGAAAGTCTGGTCGAAGATGGGATCTGGATTCTTGACATTCAGCGTCAGAGGAGCAACCCCCTACAAAGGTTTTGCAGGTTACAAATCCTAATCATCAAAACAAGAACATAGGACTAAGAAATGAGAATGCTTACATGATGTATAGCAAGGACGCTGAAAATAGCTTCCACGGCTCCAGCTGCTCCAAGAAGATGACCAGTTGCGCCCTCCAAGAAGCAGAGAGTTTATTTAAGGACAAGAGAGATGCACAACAGTATACGGTGAAGTTTAAAAAGTGCCCTCTAAATATTTGCAGGCACACTGCTATAAGTCAAACTCTTTGGTAACATCATCCTAGGTAAGAAACATCAGGTATTTTTTACCTTGGTGGAGGAGAATGCCAAAGTGCCTGAGGTCGCATGGTCAGAGAATACGGTCTTGATAGCCTTTGCTTCCACGGCATCGCCTAGAAATTGGATTTGATAACAGAATTATCAGTTCAGTTTTTGTTATACTAGAGAGAACCAACACTAAGCATCAATCTTTTTACCTATTGGGGTTGATGTTGCATGTGCATTTACATAATCAACTTGGTTTGGAAACAGGCCAGACTGCAAAGTCATGAACATTCAAACGAAATCATTGGAATTCAAACTGCTAAAAGCATAAATGATCATCAACAGAAACAATCTAGGAGTACCTTAACAACAGCTATGAGTTAACCATGGCTGGTGATTAATAGTATGGAGTTTACCTGTTTTAAGGCACGTGTCATGGCCAAAACAGCTCCCTTTCCATCTTCAGGAGGTTGAGTAATATGGTGTGCATCGCCTAAATATCAAGAAGATAGATTCATTTTTAGGGAATTAAGAATGTGTTTAACTATTATCTATATGAATGCAAAATGTGTGTTTACTATCTATGAACTTAACCTGACATCCCATATCCACAAAGCTCAGCATAAATTTTTGCTCCGCGTCTTTTCGCATGCTCAAATTCCTTTTGTTATAACCAGAAATCAAAAAAGATTCTAGATTAAAACCAAGAAAACGGCTGAGGGGATGACTATCCAAGACTCTAGAGTTTAGGTAAAGGATATATCTTCTTCCACAAAACCTCACCTCTAATACTATAACCCCTGCACCTTCCCCTATCCTTCAACCAAATCAAAAGGGTTGGAATCAACATCTCCAAAACAGGTTCTTTTACATAAGCAACGAAGAAAGTAACTCACACAAAACCATCCCGGTCACAATCAAAAGGCCGTGAAGCTTCTTGGGGAGAAGAATTGAACTTTGTTGACAAAGCCCTTGATCTGGACAGAAAAGAGTTCAAAATTTCATTAAGAAATTTATATTTGTTGCATCTGTGCCTATTTAAAAAACTTGAATAATGTTCACACAGCTATATTTTAGGCATAAATGTACTAACAGCGGACATTAGTAATTTGCTGACTCTAGGACCATATGCCTTTTGTTTTTCAGAAAGAAAGGAGCTTTTTATGTAAGCAAACAAAATGTGTTACCTAGAGAATCCAGCAACGGACAGAGCATCAATGCTAGACTCAGTTCCACCTGCCACCATAATATCTGCATCTCCAAATTGAATCATCCTAGTGGCATCCCCTATAGAGTGCGCACCAGTTGCGCAAGCTGTCACAGCAGCATGGTTTGGCCCCTATATTCAAAAGCATGAAAATGCTACGCAAGCAGTTTTCTACTTAAGAACATTGAAGGACTATTCTAGTCACGTTATGGAGGTGAAAAGTATGTTTATATCCCATATCACCCCGTTATAATAGCAACTTGCCACTTTTGCATATTTTAAACCCAATGGAAACCAAATCGAGTTGCAGAACTAAAACTACTGTCACGTAACTCTAAGCTAACCAACAATGAATAACCGCAGATGTTCATAACTCTAAGCCAACCATCATTGAATAACCCAAGATGCTCATAACTATTTAGCATAGAAGAGAGTTAAAAATTCAACATACTTGGAATCCATACTTCATGCTCACATGACCAGATGCCATGTTTACCAATATTTTTGGAATGAAAAACGGACTAAGCCGCCGCAGCCTCTGCATCATCATAATTGTTAAGTCTTACAAGCGACAGGGGAGCAGAGCAAGTTCATAAAGCACTAACTATACATCATAAAAATCTGTAACTCCTGAGGAAGTGATGCAAAGACAACAGAAATGACTAACCTTTTCACAAATCATCTGCGCTGCCTCCACAATGTCGCTTATACTTCCGATTCCACCACCAATAGAGACTCCCTGGTATTCCAGAATTTCCAAAGAATTATAGAAAACAAAGTAAAATCAAATATATATATATCACATGAGGAATACTTAACTGTTCTTTCTTTGTCTTCCTCTTCAGTTGGTAACCACTCTGCATCTCTCAAGGCTTCATCAGCCGCACATAAAGCATATCCGATAAACTTTGCAACTGCCTCCAGGATTCAAAATGCAGGATAATAGAAAACCTTAAAACTTATGCATATCTGAAAACCATATAGAGCTTCCAAAAGACAGTAAATGAGTAGCAATAAACCACACATCAAGTTTCCAAACTGCAATAAGCAATGCTCCTAACAAAATTGACCACAAGAAAATTTAACACCTTATGATATTTGACTTTGTTCCTACTAATTATGTCATAATAACCTTCAAAGCCTGTCTATTCGAGAAGAGTAAGAGGTTGAGCTCATGAGCTAAAGGTACCTTGGAGTTTAGCCAAAGGCCCTCGTCAAATTCACCTGGGTTTGAGCCATAGGGCACAAAAGCCGCAACTTTAGAGGACAACTGGTCAAAAGTATACAACTTTGTCTCTTCATCGAACGATTTCATCTTGAGATCATCAGGAGTCAATCCTCTAATCCCACTTTCTCCACCAATTAAACGCCTCCATGTTGTTTCAACGCCTCTTCCCAGTGGAGTAACCATGCCTAGACCTGCAGGAGCAACGTTAAATCAGAGGAGTTACAGGAATTATAAACATATGTAAAGACATTGAAACATTTGAAGGAGAAGGAGACCAGTGACAACAACACGGCGATGTGAAGAAGAAGAGATGAAGCGGCTCAAGCAGAGGCGACTTGGATTTAAGTTTCTTCGAAGAAAAGTGGTCGCCATTTCAGAGGACGACGCTCGTAACAAGTCCACTTGCCGGCGGCGAAGAGAGGGACTTTCCGAAACGACGAGGAGGATCAGATAAATTTTTTTTTTTTTTTAAATCTCTACAATAGAAAACCGGTTCGGATGTTTACTTAACCGATGGTTTAGCTAATCAATTGGTAAGTCAGTAATTAATTTGTTGAATCGTGCAAATCATGTATGGTAAACCAGACCTGATCATCAAGCACTCACTGGAGAGAAATGATTGGTTTTGTTGTATCCATATGATATGTCCACCGAAAATTGATACCGTTTTATTTAAAATCAAGTGATTTTCTTTACGATCGGTAAATAAAACTAAGAGATTATTAACAAAACTACCATATTCCAAAAAACTTCTTTTTCAAAATACTATAATCCAAATTTTTTTTTCAAAACTACCCCAACTCCATATAAAACGACCATTTACCCTCTCATCTTCAACTTCTCTCTCTTCTTGTTGATGAAAAAAAAAATGGTGGATACTGGTAGCCCAACGGAGACAGCGGGGGACGATGGACAAAAACGATTATGGTGACGGTGGTGAACAATACAGAAACAGGGGCTATCATTACCGCTGCTAATAACCAAGGTCTCAAGGAAACCTACGTTCAAGATAAAATACCTTGAAAACTAACTGGACGCTAAAGATGATCAACATTTTTTACCTGCGGACACTCACAAGCCAACTTCAATCACCTACTAAAGATTGGCCACCTCTTCGCAAATGGATAACTAAATATCGAAATTACTGCTTCACCTTGAAACCCATCCCTTATCCTTGTTAAAAAAGTTGTATAGGGAAGGCTAGTGTATGTCTCCTCATCAAAATAACATATGAATTGCAAACTTCATCGAAATACCAACTAAATCAAGACCACCTCTACACATGAAACTAGAAATGAACAACAAATCCTAAAGCTTAACAATGAGTCCCTATCTTATAGCCTAACGCCAACTGATAACCAAAACTGTGGTAAAAACAAGAAACAATACGTAGCCCGAGAGCAAAACCAGAACCCAATTGAAAAACATGGACCATACAAGTCGGAGTCTAAAAGAGGTTGGCACGGGTCACCTACACCGAGAGAGAAGCGAGGGTAAAGGTACAGTGAGATGCATAAACAAACCAGAATTGGACAACCCCAACAAGCACACATTGCATACCAAATACCATTCATCAATCACAGCTTATTTCGCAAGTCATAATTGCGTGTGTGTCAACCTACACAGAACAAGTCAAAACTTTCATCGATGATTAAAGATCTATATTTGACCAGTTGCGACTCCAAAGCGCGACTCAGTCCTAGATAAAACCCAAGAACAAACCGAATATAGAGTCAACACCTCACCGTGCCAACACAATTTGTCTTTATCACATCCGACACCACCACGAGAGCGAAGATTTCCCTCCTCCACCACCATCGATGAGATCACACTAAAGCCACTTTGGACAGAGAGGCTGCCACAAAAAAAAAAACTTAAAACATGTTTTTCTTTTGTTTTTTGAGAAATTTCAAGAAATGCCACTTTTCAAGTGCCATTTTACAAAAATGCAACA